AAAAAAACAAGGAAATAAGAAAGCTGAGCATTTCTAACACAGCTTTTCGGGCAGAGCCTTATCATAAGGTGGGCTTCTCCATCTCTACAATTCAGACCCCTCCTCTTACTAGGCCACAATGGCAACACCAGGAATTCACCACTCCTTTCTCCCTTTCCGCCATTATAATTGGGGTAATCCCCCCAACTCCTCAGCACTATCCCCAATCATGGAAAATGTAAAGACAGTAGAAGACAAGACAACCTCAGTTTAGACTACGAAAGAAACCTCTCTGTGCAACCTGAGGCATTTACTCTATGTGTAACCTAGGCAGGACCACAAGCCCTTTGAAAAAAAGTAGAATAAAAACATGACAACCATTACCCCTCTCTAACCAAGCACAAGAAGTGGCAGAGACAACTTCCACAGGACCATAAAGCCCCCCTCCCCCAATGAATACCTCATTGAGATAGTCCTCAAGGTCTGCCAAGATGCGGATGTAGAACCGGGGCACGCCTTCCTTGTCCACAATGCTCTTGGCCTTCCCGTAGGCCTTGCCCAGCAACTCAAACTCCTCCAGGCACTTGGTGACGTCCCGGATCTTCATGGCATTTCGGATGGTCTTGATCAAGTTGGTAAGCTCTTCAAACCTGCAAAAGTTTGGAGGGAGATTTCACACAGGCCCCTTCGAGAACACTGCACCATTACTGCCGATAAAAAGCAACTGGTGATATGTCGATGAACAGAATGGTAAAATTTCCTGGACATCTGAAGATGCTGTGGGGCCCAGCCCTCCAGAAGCCAAGCACCCCACTTCCCACAAGACCAGCCACACGTCACCTCTTGTCCTTTGCGCTGCGCACCACTCTCTTCGTATCTTCTTCATCTTCACTCAGAATCAGAGGCCTATGAGAAAAAAGAGATGACTTAGATCTCTGCACTTCAGGACTGAACTAAACCAAGCCTGGCCATATGATGTGAGCCAGTCGTAACACATGCCTAAGTAGAAGAAAAGTCTCAGCAAACTGTAAGCCTAACAACTATGGGAAAGAGAAGGCAAGAGAAAAGATGTTCAGGAGACATCACCTGAATCCAAAGAGATGCTGAGAGAATTATCCAGGGGTCAATTTGGATGAGTATCTTTTACCTGACTTACTATTTTAAAGATATTTATACTCTGCTTTTTTTTTAAACTTGGCTCTGCATAATTCACAAGATTAAGAACTCACACTTGAGAACTTGGCCAAGAGAAATTAAAATATACCCCGGCAGTTAAGGTATCAGTACACCCTTGGTATACTGATCACACAGTCCCACTAAATAAAGCTATTTCAAGTTGATCACTGAAACACACCAGGAGTACACCAAGACAGGCGCCTTCGGGGAGGGAGGGACAGAATCTTAGATTTGCTACCACAACGACCCTACCCTTCGTAGCCACCTTTGGCAGCAGGGCAAACAAGGAACTATGGTCAAGCAGGGATCTAAACCAGTGAGAGCCAGCTGGACTAGATGGACCCGATCTGACCCAACAGGGCTCTTTTTATGTTCTTAGGCTGTCACACAGATACAAATAAGGACTTTAAAGAGCAACAGAGAGCAAAGTATGCACACAAGGAAGTGCCTCTGAGAGGTGTACAGGGTGGGTGCTGTGAATTAAAACTGAAATGAAAAAGAGAAAGACTAGATATAAGGTCCTCGCCATATTGATACTTTCAAGTCTTCAGGGCTCCTCCACTCCACATCTCTCACTACACAGCCTAAGGCACTGCTTAACAGCTCTCTGACTCGATGCCTCCCACCCTCCCAACTCCTCCCTGACTCCAATATACTTACTGTTTTCCAAAGTTGCCTCCGACAGGCTTGGCCACCTGCTCATCCCCAGAAAGTGATGACTCCGACTCGCTGTCGGAGCCCGTAGTAAAGAAGCGCGACATGGCAGCAGCAGCTCTGGGTCAACGACCCCCTCCCCAGTCCTAAGTGGGGAGAAAATTTCAAGGGGCAGCAAGTTTAGTAATATTTTAAAAATCTGATCTATTTTCTCTCATTTACTTTAAACTTATATTTCTGCATTATTTTATATAGTCTTCATCTGGTACTGCAAGAACCCCCAAGACAATATACCTCAGCACATATTTTTCTTTGCTCTCATCTTATGTCCTCTGGCTGCCTTCCCATTTGGCAAATTTTAGACCATGAGGGCTGATTCACAGGTTGCATTTGGGGTCCCCATCCTGTGACCTTTGGAAGAGCCACACCTGAGTTGCAGGTTTTCCTCCCCTATGGTTTAAGTCTTTCTCCTGTATCATTTTCCTGCTCAGCAATAGTCTTAGGGGCATGCTTTTTGGCCCACTGGGGAAACCCACATATACACTCCCAATGGGCCAAATAGTACCTCCATGGATTGCTTCACATCAGGAAAAAAGTATGTTGGGAAAAGTTGAAGTGCCTTCTCTATACATGCTACAGTTATGATCTAAATCAGGAAAGAAAAATTAAGAAGAACCTGCAACTTGTATGTGACACAGTGTGGGGACCCCAGACCCAACCTGTGTTTATTTGATTTATAAAGGCAAAGTTGCCACGGGAGAGGCACGGATGGTGGGCGGATTATCCGGGCGCGATCACACCCCAACATCTGGGAAGTGGAGTGCACCCGTGGCTTACCGCCGACAATGCGAGTTAAAACACCAGTATCTCCAAGCAGTGTTCCCTCTAAGCTGAGTTAGTGTGAGCTAGCTCACAGTATCAAACTGCGCCGGAGCAATTAGCCACGCCTCCCCCCCCCCCGTGATATCTGGCCCGTGTGACCGGGGCCTTAGTTTACTACTGTATGAATCAGCAATTCTTAAGAATGAACCTGTCTTTCCTTGTTACTGGTGTTACAGATGGTACTGGTGATAAATACAATAATCAATACACTAGATAGTTAGATCTCATTTCTGTCCCATTTTTAATGTTAACTGCTGATTGCTACTGGGTTTAAACAGAATAGTACTGTATGGACATTCTACCTCCTTCCACTGCAGAACTCTAGGCAGCATACATAAGGTTCACAGAAATTCTCCCATCCAGGCACTGACCAGATTCAGTTTTGCTTTGCTTTTGCTAACAAATTGCATCATTCACCTTCAGACCTCATTTTAACACAGCTGCTTATAGCTAGACTTTGATGTTAATGTTGCTAAGAAATTGCATCAAGCACCTTCGGGCCTCATATTATCCCAGCTACTTATTGCTGGGCTTTGATGGAGTATTTTAATGTTGCTACCTATAACTTTACTGCTAGTCTTTCAATCTTACTAATTTTCTCTTATCCATAAAGAACTGGAAAAGCGTGGCACAGAAACAATATAAAACCATAAAAAACCCTAAACCAGACAGATACACTACTCATCCTCACAAGCCGCCACTCTTCAGATAAGACCCTGAAGGCAACGCCCTCTCTTACTCGGATTCAGACCCTTTATTCCGCGTCATTCCTCCCTCCATCTTTATCTCACACACACCCCAGCGGACCCCCCGCTTTAATCCCCACCCCCTTTACCACCGACCCCTTGTAACTACGTACGTACCCTTCACACGCGCTCACCCAAGCCAAGCCTGAAAGACAGAAGCGGCTTCGCGCAACTCCGGCAACAACTACGCACGCGCAATTTTAGACGTCACTTCCTAAACTAGCGAGTAAAAGAACTCAGTTTAGGACTCATAGACGCCGCCCTTATCAGTACTTCCGGTCTAAATATGAGTTCCTCCCACAAACAGATGAGAGTTTAACCATCGAGATGGTGGTGGATTCTAGCAAGGCCGCTGCGTTTTGATGGAGCGGACTTCACCTAACTGCAGAGGCCCTGTTAAATCTTTCAGTTGCCCCCACATCTCCATTTCCATTTTTAACCAGAAGTAATAGCGCCACTTCACGATCTGGGCAATTTTGGCCAATAACTTCTTTTAAACTTTTACCGGAAGTGAAGTTTTGCGTCCCTCTGGGCGACCCTGTCTATGAGCCCTAAACTGGGGACAACATGGTTTCGTGACGTCAGGGAATGGGGGGGGAGAAAAGGATGATGGGAGTTACTCGCCTCTGACTGGGCCAAGAGCATTTCAAGCACTGCGCACGCGTAGAAATAGAGCCGCTGCGACAAGCGCTTGTATGAGTAAGGTCAGGGATCGCCTCTGTGCGAACATTTCTCTGCCGCTGTGATGCAGCTGTATTTGCAGCAGCAACAACAAGAGCTGCACTGTGAAATTCTGGCGTGTGGCATTGCCCTAGGTTTTCAGAGCTATGAGGGAACTAATCAGATGTGTTTCTTTAACAGTTCCATAGATCCTCATTTCTGAGGAGTGTATTGGTAAGTTACAGGATGAGTGCAAAGGTCTGTCATAGTCACCAAACTAGCACTTCTGGCTTGTCAGCATTAAGCTTCAGCTTTACGGTACTTCAAGAATCTTTTGTAAATATATAAATTAGTGAATTGGGAAATTTGATTTTTTTTTAAAAAAAGCTTTTACTTCTTCTAAAACATCTAATACTTTAAAAAAAAACCTCTTGCTACCGTATTTCCTCAAAAGGAAGATGACCCTGTCTGTAAGACACTCCCCTGCTAAAAATGTTATACACAAAAAGGTTGTTGTATTGGATTTAACTGTACCTTGCATGCAGATTTAAGACAAACCTCTTTTTAAAAATGGTATATCTGGAAAAAAAACCCTAGTCTTGCATTTGAGTAAGTACTGTAACATATTTAGTACTTTAAAATTCAATCAATGCACCAATTTCTTGAGAATCTCTTTGGTCTAAATCACAAACACCCCCCTTCCCACACACATTTATGTGACCTTTTGGGTGGGCTACTCACACACTCTCAGCCTAGTAACCTACCTCACAGGGTTGTTATGAGGATAAAATGGAGGAGAGCTGCTTTGAGTCCCATTAGGGAGAAAGCTGGGGTATAAATGAAGTCAATAAATAAATTGCTGCAAAGAAATTGACACTAACGATTTATATTCATACTGTAATGGATTTGTTTTCTATTTCTGACACCACCTTCAAACAACAGTCACCACTCATACTGCTTTCTAAGTCTGTATCCCACTCCATCTCCGCGTGTTAAAGTATCCAGGCAACCACCGCCCACCGAGGAGAGCAAACTGGACCATTCGGATGACTCTGAACCATAGAGTATATACTTTCAGATGACTAGAGAGGACCGGCGTTTCCAGCCGAGCGCAGAACCATACAAGAACCCATAAAGGGAGAGGCTGCCTGAATGAAGGCGGGGAACGCGGTTCCTAAATTGAACCGGAGAAAGAAAGAATCAAATTTCTCTCCGCTTAGACAGCCAATAGGAACAAAGAGAGGGTGGTGCCTTTAAGGAGGAGGTAAGTGGTGATTGGACAGGAGCTGAAGGGCGGGGCAAACTGCGAGCAAGAGCGCGAAGACTCGAACTTTGCCGTGCAAGTATGGATTTGGCGCCGGCGCTTCTGGGCTCGTCTGTGTCTGAAGTGATGACGGCGGCGGAGGTGAGCAGAATGTTTTACGGCTGAAGGTGGCCTTCTATTAATCACGGGCCCGGCGCGATGGATACTACTGTTGGTCTATTTGGGCGGTGGTACTGGCCAAAAAACCTCAGCGGTTCGGAACTACTATTCCCAGCATGCTTTGCGGTCCCGCTCTAGTAAAGCCAGTATCCCAGCATACATCGCGACCCCTGGGCCAGCCGTTCCTTTGGCACCTTGGGACTTATCTACCTACAAATGAGGCTTTGCTTCTTCAGATTGCTCCTGTGCGGGGTTGAGGTGTCACGTGTTCAAGGCTTTTCCTGTATAAAACTCCCTGTAAATAGTATATTGTGGAGTATTGTTTTAAACTAGCCCCTTTCCATGATAAGCAAGATTTTGCTTTACGGGGGAATTTTTTGTGGTTTTGGGGGGGAAAGTGACTTATTTTATTTAGAGAATTTATATGGTGACTCAACAGTACATCTGTGAACTTCCTGTAGTGGGACTTTACCCCCTCCCCTCCTGGTACTGCAGTGCACTGGGTCCCTGAACCTTTGTTCTTGAGGTCCGTGTACCTTGTGGAGCAGTGTATGTGTGGGAGGGGGCTGTAGTGGTAGCGAAGAACTGGGGGAAATCACCACCCACTTATCTGCAAATAGAGATGCTGGTCTGTTGGAGAAACTGTGTGGTTGAATATCTGTCATTAAAAACAACAACATAAGAATTACCAATATTAAAACAAGCTATTAAAAGGTGTTACTTTTTTGTAATCTGGACTTCGACAGTCTGTTTTACCACTTGTTTTTTTACTACATGTGTAGACCAGGTAATATGGAAACATGATGCTCATACATGGGAAGAGATTGCTTGCAACAAATTTCTCTAAAGTAGAGCATAAGCTTGCTGAGCTTGTGGTGTTAGTGTTATACACACAGTTTATGAAACACTGTTATGCACTCAGCACTCTGTCTGACTTAGTAGGCTAACCTTAGTAGACTCAGCACCTCTGACATACACAGACATACAGATATGTTAAGTGCCATTGATGATTCTAATTACAGAAACAGAAATCAATTATGAACACATATTCAGATATTCATTTTGGTTCATTGCTTAAATGCATTCTGGGGAAAATAGTAAATGCTAACAGGCAGTAACTGACTGCTTATGACCTTGCTTATATTGGCCAGTTGTAACTGCGCATGTCCCTGATGTCAGGTAGCTTGCGTTAGATGGAAACCATACTACATGATGTACTCATATCTGTTACATTAGAACCTTTTTATCACTTCATAGCCTGGGAAGAAGAAGGCCCATTGTTCAACTGAAGGTCAAGAAGGCCCTGGCTGAGGCTAGACGAACATCTAGCCTAATTTCCTCTGCTATTTCTGTTTCTTTGTCTCCTCCTCGCTCCCTGTTGCTGTTTTACCATTCGCTTCCCACTATTGGCTTCCATTTGCTCCCCTTCCTCTCTTCCCAGCTGCTGCTTTAGACCCCTTTGCTGTTGCCATTCTTTTTGTCTGTCTGACCTTCTGTGACGTCCTCCTTATTGGGGAGGACTAATTTCACTTTAAAAGTGTTCTTTATTTTGTTTTACTGGGTATATAAGGCTGCCACCAGGAAATTTTAAGGATTTCCAAACCTTTATGCTTTTACTGTTGCTCTTTTTAATTTGGTAGACCGAGTTCAAGGCTTACAGGGATCTATGTGGTCCTGGGAAGTATTTCATTCAGAGCTAGTATAAACTTGGATGAAAGAGGATTTATTGAAATAACTACTAAATAAGGAGGTTGTACAATGTAACTAGTAATGTATAAATGATGAACAATTGCTTTGGTATCACACAATCTTATCCCTCACTGACAGGGATCTTTCAGGTAACTTTGTAACACTTTAACTCAAGGTCATATATGTTCACTGTTTCTCTCCAGTTTATCAGGACATACAGCCTTTCCTATAACTTGTCTTCAATTAAACTTTCATTTACTTTTTCCTATACACTCAGCTTTCCTTCTGTTTCTCTGTCTCACTGAACTACCTCAGCTGTAAGCTTATAATTGCTACCACAAGAACTGCTTGTCTAACTTCAGCTGTCAACTCGTAACTGCAACTCCTGACTGACGCACAAAACCTCCACCCAGATTCACTTCCAAAACCCCTCCCCCTCTCTGTCAACCACCAATCATACCACACTTGCGTCTCTCAACCACTCTAGTCTACCTACCACAGCCATGCAACCAAACTTTTAAAGAGACACACACACACAAAAACAAGGAATCATTACACCTTTCTTCAGTGCTGTTGTGTGGTGCCACTGCTTTAGCATCAGGCTGTATTTTGGACTGCTGTCTGCCCCCCCCCCCTTGCAATACTTGTACATATACAGGCATAGCTCTTTACCTTCTTGGGTTATTTTAAGCCCCAATCTTTTTAAAGTTGTATTTTGCTGATATCCTGGGGTTTCCCCCTGTTTTGCCGAAAACCCTTCTTTAGCCCTGGATGACATTTCTCCCACTTTAGATTTTTTGATCTGTGCAGTTGGGCCATGTTGGGGAATTATATCTATGATAGCATTGGCATACTAATGACTGGACTCAATCTCTGGAAGATCTTGCATAGTAGATTAATGTAGCTGATGATGTAGTGATGGTTATAGAGTGAATTCCTGCAGAACTTTGGAAAGCATAGGCTTGGATCCAGTGGTAAATTGCCAGTAATAGAAGCCAGATTTTAAAAAAAATAAATTTGTTTAACTATTTTCCATATCAAACAGTAATACAACATTATAATCATTTACAACATATTTTGGAGTTAGACATTTTTTTCCAACCGTCTACTTTCTGCCATCGTTTTTTAAACACATTTTCATCCTTTCCCGACAAAATCATGTTTACTTTATCCATTTCTTTTATCTCTATAATTTTTGTAATTAATTCTTCTTTACTTGAGATTTTATCTGATTTCCAACATTTAGCTATCAGAATTCTGGATGTAGTAAAATAGAAGCCAGATTTTTGATGAATCCCTACTTTCACTGTAGATTCACACCCCCCCCATTCTATTCAGGGAGGGGGTCTTTGGGCTGCGGTGCCATGGGGGAGGCAAGAAAGTTCCATTCTGCTGATGGAAATCCCTCCTGCTGGATCCAGCCTGTTGTCTAGAGGTTCGATATTATTTTCATTGCAACTGGGGAATGAATGATATCAGGCTTTTTGTTCATTCTTAAACCCTAACTGTGGTCTTGGCTTCATTTGGACATGCAGGATCTGAAATCTCAGGAAACCTTTGACAGCGAAACTGACAGTGGACAGGGCAGCTGTGAAATAAACTCTTCAGTACAGATGAGCGAGAAAACTGATGATGATGGAGGTCTGTAATTCACTGTTACATTTTCTTGTCCCTTAAAAACAAAAAGGGTGTCATGTAGCTATATAATTCTTTCAGACAAAAATAGGAAAATACAGTGTAAATCCGCCAGTTTTTTCCCTTCATGTGAATCTTCTACAATGGCTTGAACTGTGGACCATGACCCAAAGGTCCCTGCCGTCTCTTGCGCTTAGAAAGTGGCCCTTCTTCAAAAAGTCTGAGAGCTGCTGCTCTAGTAGAAAGTTGCCATACACAGCTAGAACAATCTGCATGATTAAACAACTTGTTTTTCCATGGCAGCCACTCCCTGCATTGTCAGACCCTTTCCCAAAGTAGTTTCAAATGTATCTTGAGGGCTGCTGTCATGTTGGAGCAGATTTTAAAAGAAAAGAGCTCTGTACTTAGAATTAGCCCATGAAGTGTTATAAGCTACAGTGATTTGTGGATTGCAGGGGGGGGGGGGCTTATGACCATAGGAGTTAAATTTCCCAATGAAGTTCAGCTAAATGCTTCTCATCCAGTAGATCAGTGGAACTCACTCCGAGAGCCACATCCACAATTACCAAGATGGAGACAATTGACCAAGAGAGACACTTGACTACTGTATGTCCTGGGCACTACCCCAAACACACAAAAGTAATAACACATAATATAACCCTTTAAATTACCGGAGTACCTTTAAGCATCTAGGACTGTCTTTTCCCTATTACCGAATTCCCTGAAAATAAGACACTGTCTTATATTTATTTTTTCTCAAGAAGACACACTAGGGCTTATACCACAAATGCATAGAAATCCTGCTAGGGCTTATTTTTGGGTAGATCTTATTTTCGGGGAAACAGGGTATTGGGAGTTTTGTTTTATGGGATAGCATTCAAGAGTGGTGTGCCCCATTCCACCACCATATTCAGCTGCTCACGTGATCCAGTCTCAAACCCCCTAGATTTGTACAACCTTGATATAAGCCTTGTTGTGTTGCGTCTTAAAAATGCAATAATTTTATCTTGGGCCTATGATAATGATGAGATCATTCCAGTTTCTAAAGAAATTGCTCAGTTTCCTGCAATGCGGGGTGGGAATCACAGTGAACAGTGCTCCGAAGAGCTCCAGGTGGTATGTCGAAAAAAATAACTTGCGGCTCCCGAGCCACTGAGCATCACAGTGTACCTGATTCAGGTTGTACCTGATTTTGCAATATTTCAGATAAACAGAGGAAGATAAAATTAATGTATTAATCACTTATACAGTGTTAGTGCGTTTAAAAAATTGATGCATATCATGAATGTGTACATTATTTTTGACAGAGTCAGATGAAGAAATTTGTGTGCGTAGGAGAATCCAAAGTAAGAAGGTGCTTCCCGACAGTGAGAGCGAAGGAGAAGATACTTTGCACCCAGCATCGGAGGCTGCAGCTGGGAATGTGGAATGTGCAGAGGAAAACAGTACATTTGCTTCTAAGGAGAAGAAATCGCACTGCCTCTACAAGGCTCCACTAGACAGTGATGAAAGTGACACGGATGACCTGCTGCACAATGAGAGCCTTGCAACAAATCCACAGCCTGGTTCACCTGGGCTTGCATTAGCGACATCAGCAATGCCAAGGGGAAAGCATAAGAGCGGCAAAGTTGGCTGTGCAGAGCAAATGGATGGAGAAGAAAGGGGCAGTCGAAGGAAGAGAAGAACGGAGAAAGAGAAGAAAATGAAGGCCATTAGACAGATGGAGAAGACGGAAAGGAAATGGGAACAGAAGGTGTGGCGACGAGGAAAGAATGCTTCTCAGGGTTGTTGTGCATATATGCACAGTGTAAAGCCTGATTGAATATCAGGCTGTGTGTTTGCTTCATCCATAATGTAACATGATACATACATGCTTGTACACGCATACATGAAGCTGCTACTGCCTGGTCCTTTTAATTGGAGATGCTGGGTATTGACCTGGGAACCTTCTATATGCAAAGTAGAGGCTCTTCCACTGAGCCACAGCTTCTCCCCTATGATCTATAGACAGGCGTTCCACTAATTCTACCATTGAAATGTCAGCTGTAGCCCTGTGGCAGCCCAGTTGGTTACCACTGCAGGAGACAGAAGGTCTGGAGAAACAGCTCATTGTATGACAATGGTTCCTGAACTATGTTGCTGCAGAGTAAAGATGAGGGTGGTATGATTGAAAGCTCCCCTATATATATAAAGAAAATAATAATCCCTACAGAGAGGGAAACTTTAGCAATGATATAAAATGTACTGCTCTCTCCGATATTCTGGTTTTATGTTTGTTTTCCTGGTTAGGAAATGTTCAAATGTAGAATCTAAATCATACAATAAGCAACGTGACGTTTGGCTGCCGCAGCACATGTTTCAGTGTGGGGGATAAGGGTTTTTGCTCGGCCAGTTGATGCAGAATATAAAATCTATTGCGTATGTTTGAGAAAACAATTTAGTCTGTTAGCAACATAACCCTTCTTTTCAAATGCAAGTGTGCTTTTTGTTACATTAAGGAGAACATTTCTCAACACAAACTGTCACATACTATGTTTTTTGGTCCAGGAGGAGGAGAAGGAGCTTCATCTTGAGGACAGTGGGTGTCTCCTGGCTGATAGAGACCTCTTTGAGAATGGTTTGGAGGAGGATGAGGAGTCACTAGACTCAATAAAAGCAGCAGCGAAAGAGAAAATGAAAAAACAGAAAGTAAGTTACTCTGCACCTTCCAAGGAGTCTGAATTCAAATGTGTGGAAACAGCCCAAGAGTCTCGTGGCACACTGAAGCCTGTTTCATAAGCTGGAAGAAACCTGTTAGTCTTTAAAATACCATGCTGTCAGAAGTCTGTTTTTATTTTAGTTGTTTTTTGCAGCTCTCTAGCACAGCTACCTCTCTAGAGTAGTACTTGCAAGTCTGTAGCACAATAGTTTGCACTGCTTGGTTTCTAGAGACAGTAGACATAGAGAATAGCATAGGTTTTTTTAGTAGGACGGTTTTAGTATAAATTCTACAATTTAGGGGGGGGCGTGTTAAGTGCTTCCGACTTATGGCAACCCTATGACTTAATGTCCTCCACTCTCAGGTCTTGCAAACTGAGGCCCATGGCTTCCCTTTATTTAGTCAGTCCATCTCATCAATTCAAGGGGGAGGGGACGAATACAGACAAAATAGCCACTGAATCTTTTAACATTGTATACTGCCATTTTTGTACGACAAAGTTTCTGTTTGTTTAAAACCATGGAGCATCACAATAAAAGAATTCCATACAATAAAGTAGAATACATTTCCAAGAAATAAATTAGGATATGTCTCTAGCACCTCTAGGAAAATATAGATACAACCTGAAATTAAAACAAAAATCAGTATGAATCCAGACACACCCAGGGGCAAATAGTCCCCGAAACACTGTTGTGGTGCACCAATTTGTACTGGGGATTTTTTGAACAGCAGATCCATACAATGTGACTTTGTATGTGTATGCTTTGCATTGTCTCATATCCAGAAAGTTTTTCAAAATTATATGTAGTTCTAATACAAGTGAAGATATTGGAAAGAAATATTTTTTTGTAATTTAAAAAAAAATAGGGGTACAGAAGAAAAAAGGGAAGTGCTGATGATGGTAGAGCTCCTCCTTGATATGGTTCCCTTGGACATCCTGCAGGACAGAGATAATACTGAAGAGTTGCTTAACTGTAGGGCTCTTTTTGTACCAGGTACTCATTTGCATATTAAGTGACACACCCCTAATGTAGCCAATCCTCCAAGAGCTTACAGTAGCTCCTGTAAGAATAGCTCTGTTAGCTCTTAGAGGATTGGCTACATTAGGGTGGTGTGGCCTAATATGCAAAGGAGTACCTGCTACAAAAAGAGCCAGGCCTGTAGTCTATATAAAGGGTTTTCATTAGTGCCACTGTAGCATAGTGACCAAGAGAATGAGCTATGATGCCAGGTTTGCTAGTTCAAATTTAATCTGCTGCAGGCTCACTAAACAACCTTGGGCAAGCTACTTTCTCTAAGACTTCCCCCGTCTTCAATATGGGGAAGAAAAAGAAGAGGAGGAGGAGGAGATTGGATTTATACCCCACCCTTCACTACCTGAAGGAGTCTCAGAGGGGCTTACAATCTCCTTTCCCTTCCCCTCCCCACAACAGACACCCTGTTAGGTAGGTGGGACTGAGAGAGCTCTGAGAGAAACTGCTCTTTCAAGGACAGCTCTGACAGAACTATGGCTTGCCCAAGGTCATCCAGCAGGTGCAAGTGCAGGAGTGGGGAATCAAACCGGGTTCTCCCAGATTAGAGTCCACTTAACCACTACACCAAACTAATAAATTTGGTCCAGGTTGCAGGGCTGTTATAATAATTACTTGATAATATATGACTTTGAATGTGAATAGTTCAGTCCTAAGGAGAAGTATGCCCTCCTAAGCCCATTGGCTTCAGTTGATTTAGGAGGGTGCAACTCTTCTTAGGGTCGTACTGCAGTCTTACGCACACCTACTGGGGAATAAGGTATGTTGTACTCAGCGAAATGTACTTTAGGGTCAGTGTACATAGCACAGCAGTCAAAGGTACTAGACTACACTCTGCAGCAGGTGCCACAACAGTCCAAAAAAATTAATCTTATAAATAAAGGTCTCTAATGTTTCTTGTGGCTATTTAATTAGAGGTGTTCTGGGAGACGGAAATAACTTCCTTTTTGATCTAAACAGCTGTTTTCAGGGAGTCAAGATTACAAGGATATGCTGGATGAATATGAGGGACCATCGTTAAAGGAGTCTAAGAAGGTGAGTATCTTTTTATACCTTTTTCTTTTTAATTCTATATGAGTTTCATTTTAACATGGGCATTTGGATAGTGTTTAGCAGAACCTCACATTATCCCTTTGTCCACCCTCCCTTTCCAAGTGGGCTTTATTTCAGTTCTCTTTAAACTACATTACAGCGGATTGTATTGGTGTTTTTTTTATTTTAAAAACCAGCGTACAATTCTTAAGTGTTTCTTTCCCCTTTTTTTTAAAGGAGAGGAAGGCAGCCAAATTAAGTAAAGAAGCCATCAAACAGCTGCATAGTGAGACTCAGCGGCTTATTAGAGGTATGACCACTCTTGGCAAAGAGCCCCAGTTCATACTTCGCTCCAAGAAGTCGAGGACATTCAGAGGGCAGCGGGGCCAAGCAAGAGTTTTCCGGGGTGGGGGGGTCTGTGCAGGCGAATCCAGCAAGTGTTGGCTATAGCTGTGACAAGCACTCGGAGCCTTGTTAATTGAGTTCTGTGTGAACTGGGGTATGCTCTCTTTGTAATCATTAACTTCAAACATTTTTCTTGCCTAGAGCTTAAAACCACAACCCTCTGGCATGAGTGTGCCCCCCCCCAAAAAACCCACCTTCTGCTCCTGTACTGAAGCATCAGTGGGTTTGTAAGATTTTCTGTGGATGCTGCAAATGCAATTAGTTTCCACTGTTGCAAACGGAGGTTTTATTAGCAGGATTCTTAAATGAAAAATTCTGGGCTGTTACGGTCGTACTTTGTTCAGGCATTGTTTTTCATGTCATGTTTCTGCTAAGGTAGGGCTCAACAAATCCCAGAAGCCAGGTAACCATGCTGCCTTCATTGCAGCGCCTGGTATTTTCAGCAATTAATTTATTATGATGACAGCCAGGTTTACCCCCATTTATATACCTCAACACTTGTTGTATAGCTTGTATTTAATTATGAGAAGCTGTGATGAGTTTAGTAGTAAGTTTTGTGGCCGTAATTAACAGGAAATTAACGGTTATTAAATTACAAAACAGTGAAGGCTGAAAAATGAGTCTGGCACCTACATTTTTGGGCTGACTCCTAGAGCAAAAGCAGTTTGTCAGGGCCTGTGCTAAGGTGATCGTGGCTGCGAATGAATCTCATGGATTTATTTGCCATTGTATCCTAATATTTCCAATTTCTGCCATTGTACCCTAATAGTCCCAATTTTGAGCCAATTTCTGTAATGGCCACTGAATCCCTAAAAAGGCAGATAGTCTTTTCCCAGTTTGTTCTTGCTGAGATACTCTTTTGCGGGCCAGAAGGCCACAGAAACAAGAAGTTAACTGTTCAGTAGCTAGAAGGTAGGGTGCTGTAATGCCACAGATTCTTCCAGCCACTTGGCAGAACTAGCTGCTGAATGTTGTGCCATACCCCAACGGGCACTTCAGTATCTGGTAAAATGTCTGTTTGGTGTACCTCTCTCTGCAGTCTTTAGCTTACTGATTGTGTAACTTAATCTCAGTTCCAGATTTTTTAAAAATGCACCCAAAGGAGTAAAGTGGACTGTGTGGAGGAACACCAAATGCAAGAAACAAAATCCTGAGGCCAGAGCTCTGATTGGGAAACACACCCCCTCCTTACCTTGCCAGGTCCCCCATCCCCCAATGTATCCCTAGTATTGTACATGTTTGTAACAAATTTTAATGTCAAAATCTGTTCTGGGAACTGATTTTGGCATTACATTGGAGCATAAATAAGTAACCTGTAATGAGTTGGATCCAGATTAAATTTTCTGTCAATGGAATGGAGCTTTTCTCTCCCCCCTCCCCGCCCAATACTGCAGCCCATTGAAAAATGCCACTCCCAGGGGACAGGGGACCCTGAGGAATGACGTGAAGGAAGCTTGCAGTGGGATGGAAAATGGGTAGAAATCGCCAATTTCGTTTGGATCTGACCCACTGAGTTGCACGTACTTCCTCAGTTTTATAGAGCTGCTTGTTTTTTAAATTGTGCAACAGAGAGAGACTTCTAACCAATGCTCCCTCTAAGCTGTGGAGCTACTGGCATTAAAGCTGTGAGCGAGCAGTTTGGCTACTGCATAAATCAGTTTGCTCTGGAGCCATCCTTCCTGAGCTAAGACAAAAATGTGTGGGCTGGAGGCTAAAAAATTGTGAGCTAGCTCACACTAACTTAGCTCAGAGGGAACACTACTTCTAACGTCTATATAAAATGGGTTTTGTTTGCAATTGGAATATTGTGTGGATCTTAGCGCCTCCGTCTTGCTTACTGTTAAGTGAAAGAAAAACTGCTTTTGTACTTGGTTGCAGGCAAAATGTTGTATAAGTAATATTGGGGAGTTAGCTCCATAATCCTTGGCTGTTCTATGGTGTCTTTGTGATTTTATGATTCTTCCAGTTTGCTGATGTTAACTCTAGGCTGTCATAGTAAAACTGTTCCCGCACTGCACACAGATTCCATGTTTCTCCTCTTGCAGAAGCCAGCATATCTCTCCCATATCACCTACCAGAAGCCAAAAGTGTCCGTGATTTCTTCAAGTGCAAACCTCGGCCTGCCTTCCAAGGAAGTGCTATGACTTTGATCAAGTAAGTCAAGCCTGCTTAGATCCTTCTAAATTATTGTTCCTTTTCACAGTATAAACAGTGGGTTGGATGCAGACAATCTGCCAGTTTCTAGCACTTCCCCCTTCTCTCTGCAGCCCCAGCTCATGTTGTTTCTCAGAGTTCCCTATCCTGGAGCAGTATTTCACGGGGATCAACAGGGTGCAGGGGGGTTCCATTGAGCTGGTTGATAATTTAGTCGGAATCCAACCCATTGCTATGGACATTGCAGTTTTGCAGGAGCGTTGAAGAAGAAGAGGAGAGATTGGATTTATACCCCGCCCTTCACTTGGAGTCTCAGAGCGACTTACAAACTCCTCTCCCTTCCCCTCCCCACAACAGACACCCTGTGAGGTGGGTGGGGCTGAGAGAACTCTGACACAAACTGCTCTTTTTCAGGAACAGCTGTGCCCGAGCTTGTAACTGACCCAAGGTCACATCAGCAGGTGCAAGTGGAGGAGTGGGGAATCAAACCCGGTTCTCCCAGATTAGAGTCTGCACACTTAACCACTACACCAAACTACAGCATACAATATATTGTTAACAAGAATCAGCTCCTGAGGATCTCAAGTTTTATTGAATGCATCAACTCTAGCAAGTCTATACCATTTCCTAACTTATCTTGTGCAAACTGTTTATCAGTCCAAGTTTTGATATACTGTTATTTTTTCCATGTACATAATGTGCCATATTTTATTAAACCATTCCTCCATGCTTGGTAATTTCTCCCGGTTCCAATATTGTGCTACTAAAACATTTGCCGCTGTTAGTAGGTTTCTTATAACTCCCTTCCCTTTTATAACATTACTAACATAATAGCTTACTCTCTGTTTTCTTTAGTATGATCAGGAGTTCCTTACGCTTTTCAGTGATTGTGTTTCTAATACATTGATTTTTGTATGTATATTCTGCTCTTATATGGACTTTTCAAGGGTCTCCCATCAAGATTTGCTGTTCAGATCCACATCTCCTCTAGCTTTATTAATGCTACAGCATCTGATGGTTTCAGACTGTTTGCTGGGCACCTGCAGTGATCCTGTTCAGAGAGGAGAAGAGTGATGTGATAGTCTAACTCTCTTCTTGGCAGATCAGCAAAATACCAGCCCAGACTAGATGAAGAAAGGGCCATTCCCAAGATCCCAGGTGCCACCTACAGCAACAGTGGAGGAGAAGAAACTGAATGTCCAATAACACGGGAGCTAGAAGCAGGACTTGGTCCAGAAGTTTCAGCCATCACACATTCAAGTGTTGCCAGACCTGTTGCTGGAGAAGGGAATTGTTTGACAGTGGGTTATCCTGAGCAACACAGAGAAGACTGTGGTTCCAAAGCTGAAAGACTTACAAAGGAAACCAGTTCTGAGAAGCAAGGAAAATCTAATCTAATCAGTTCTGAATGCACTGACCTGGTGACAAATAAAGTGGAGGGGAAAACGATTGAACCAGGAGAGGAGCAGTCACCTGAATTGTACGCAGGGCTCCCAGCAGCGGCCTTGGCAGCTCCGGGTGAAAAATCAAAGAAGTCCAAGCTAGATCGCCTTCGGGAGATGGGGGTGGATCTGACAATCAAGCCTCGAATCTCTTCTGGGGATGATTCATTTATTAATCTTGATGAACCTGAATCAAACAGAGGTACGATGCTGACTGCTAGGATCCTGCCAAGTCCAACGCAGTCTTTATTATCTCGTTGCCACTTATAGGTTTTAAGAGGAACAGCAAAGTGTGCTATAGCTTCCTGGTGCATGGCATTAACTTGCCAATGGACTTTAAACTGTTAAAGAGTTATGAATACATTTATTCTCTCGGGGGAAGGGACTGTGTCTCAGTGGTAGGGCGCCTGGTGACAAATAAAGTGGAGGGGAAAACAATTGAACCAGGAGGGGAGCAGTCGCCTGAATTGTACGCAGGGCTCAAAGAACCTATACAGCTCCCAGCAGCAGCCTTGGCAGCTCCGGGTGAAAAATCAAAGAAGTCCAAGCTAGATCGCCTTCGGGAGATGGGGGTGGATCTGACAATCAAGCCTCGAATCTCTTCTGGGGATGATTCATTTATTAATCTTGATGAACCTGAATCAAACAGAGGTACGATGCTGACTGCTAGGATCCTGCCAAGTCCAACGCAGTCTTTATTATCTCGTTGCCACTTATAGGTTTTAAGAGGAACAGCAAAGTGTGCTATAGCTTCCTGGTGCATGGCATTAACTTGCCAATGGACTTTAAACTGTTAAAGAGTCATGAATACATTTATTCTCTCTTGGGGGAAGGGGCTGTGTCTCAGTGGTAGGGCATCTGCTTTGCATGCAGCAGGTTCAGTCCCCAGCATCTCTGGTTAAAAGCCATAGGTGCTGTGAAATACCTTGAGCTAAAATTCTATAGAGAGCCACTGGCAGTTGGTGCAAACAGTGTTGTCCTTGATGGGCCAATGGTCTCAGCAGAAAGCAGCTTCACCCTACTCGTGCATTGTCTCTTAAAATGCTTTGGTCTGTTGGACATCTATCTGCTGTTTCACGGACTGAAATTGGTGGCACTGTTTCCATGAAAGTTCATGTCCACTTAACACCCAACTGGTAGAACTGTGTAGCTAATTAACTCTACCTGTGTAAATCTGAGTCACTGTAGTAAGGTAAAGGTTCCCTTGCTCGAAAGCCAGTCGAATCTGACTCAAGGGTTTCCAAGCCGACGAGCCAGCGCTGTCCAAAGACATTTCCGTGGTCATGTGGCCGGCATGACTAAACCCCAAGGCGCACGGAACACTGTTACCTTCCCACTGAAGTGGTAAAAGGCGAGCAAGGAAGTTTTGTTTAATAATTAGTGACAGACTAATCCTGAACTGTTTGTTTTCTTCCATTGATAATATCTAAGTGAATGTATGTTTTTGGTTCTGAATTATGTCCTTTATCAGTCAAGAAAATGTTTTGGGGGCAAATTGCCACTACTTGCTGTGTGTTGGACATCTATCTGCTGTTTCACGGGCTGAAATTGGTGGCATTGTTTCCATGAAAGTTCATGTCCACTTAACACCCAACTGGTAGAACTGTAGCTAATTAACTCTACCTGTGTAAATCTGAGTCACTGTAGTACTTTGCAGTAAAAGGCGGGCAAGGAAGTTTTGTTTAATAGTGACAGACGGGAATCCTGAACTGTTTGTTTTATTCCATTGATAATATCTAAGTAAATGGTATGTTTTTGATTCTGAATTATGTTGTTTATCAGTCAAGAAAATGTTTTGGGGGCAAATTGCCACTACCTGCTGTGAATGAGCGAGAGTAATTATGTTCTCTTTTTAAAAATATATAAACAGAATTTGAAGCTTTGAAGGAGCGTTTTGTGCAGCATGCGCTTCAAACAACCAAACCAAAAACTGAACGGGTGGTGAACCTGAATGTAATTCGCAAAGAAATGACAGATGAGGGCAAAGAGGAGCTGAAAGCAGGGGTGGTACCCGTGACTCTCGCTGCAGAGAGTGTAGAAGAGACAGTCCACGGAAAGCCAGGTATGCCTGTGGGGACAGCTGCCAGATTTGGTGGATGGGATCAGTTTCCCCCATCACTCGGACACTTGAACCAAAGGTTGAGCAATTCTCTGCTCTGCCAGGCTGTCATACTCAGTGGCAAAAGTGAAGGATTATGAAAGGGTGGGGCTTATGTGGGGTGAAATTATATTTTGTTACTGGCTACATTTTTGGTTCATTTCCAGTTGTATCCCAAAGGTGCAGGTTGGTTATTAAAGGCAAGTAATTCAAAGAGTCATCATGGCGTACTGGTTAGAGTACTGGACTAGGAGGACCTAGTGGCACCACGTTCAACTACGCACTCTGCCATGTACGCTTGTTGGGTGATCTTGGGTCAGTCGTGCACTCTCAGCCTAGCCGAACCTAAAACAGTAGAAGAGAACAATGTACGCTGCTGTGTCGGGATATAAATAAAATAAACAAATAGTTCCGGCGTGGGGGTCCTGTCTCTAGGTGGATTTCAGACAGAGAAAGTTGGGTTACTATTTATATACAAAGGGGGGAAAATAGCCACTGAAAAGTATAATGTCTTTAAAAATTATATAAATAAATATTAAAGAAAAGAAATGTATAATGTCTTACAATTTGAAAATATTCCTGTCCCTGTAAGTGAAACTGGGGGCAGTTAAAAAAATCTTATTTTAATTAAAATTTGTTAGGGCTATCAGGACCGGATAAAGTTCCTTGGCGTTGAGAAGCAAGGGAACATTTTAGCTGGAGGGTGCCACTGGATCTTTCCTGTCCCTAAGTGACCATTGTATGTATGGAATAAAACCTAGATGTTGTTCTTCATGCAGGGAGTAGAGTTGCTAGCTTGGGTTCTGTGTGTTTGTGACTACCTATGAGTTCCATTTTGACCTTTCCTTTTCCCCAAGGAGCTCAGGGTGGCATGCAGGGTTCTCTCCTCTGTGTCATCCTTGCATTCCTGTGAGGTAGGTCAGGTTGAGAGTGTGTGACTGGCTCAACATGGCTATAGCTGAGAGGGGAAATTGAGGTTCACATCCCAGTTCCTGTGCCAACATTCTTAACCACACCGCCACACTACTTCTCATCATTCCCATGTTAGGTCATTCATTGGCTAACCGCAGGGCTTTTTTTGTAGAAAAAGCCCAGCAGGAACTCATTAGCATAATAGCCCATACCCAACAGCAGAAACTCATTAGCATATTAGGCCACACCCCTGACAGCACCGCTCATTAGCATATTAGGCCACACCCCACATGTTACCAGAAGTGTGGTCATCCAGCCACACCCACCTTTTGCTTCTTATTCTGTTTACCTTGTTTGTTGTCAAAACCCAGAGCTTTTTTTGTAGCGGGAACTTCTTTGCATGTTAGGCCACACACCCCTAATGTAGCCAATCCTAATGAGTTTCTGCTTTTGGGTGTGGCCTATTATGCTAATGAGTTCCTGCTGGGCGTGGCCAACTCAGGAGCCAGCCGGAACTCCGTTCCTGTGCGTTCCTGCCCAAAAATAGCCCTGGCTAACTGGTATCATTCATTCCTGTCCCTCACCGCAAAGAGAGAAAGAAAAAGGCAATCCCTCAAAACGACCTGCATAATCACAAAGAGCCAGCAGCCTCTGTCTCTACAAGGCATCGCAAGAAGAAAGGGCCGCCACTCTCACGACCTTTGCTAATGCCATAGAGTGGACACAGCCAACTGGTATGCCACTAGAGTAGATTCTGCCTCTGCCTTAAGTAGTTTTATCCGGTCTCTGGAAACAACTTAATGGAAGTGTGGTGACATGTTTGTCCTTGGCTTCCTCCGTAAGTAAAGGCTTTCAGCTTCTAGAAAGGAGGGAGTTCCCATGTTAATGCTGCACCTCTTCTTGGCTTTACAGCTGTTAGTGTATAATGCAGTAGCCATGCCCTGAGGGTGTGCTGTTCTTAACTGTGAAGCCCTTAATTGCCACGTGGTGTCTGACCACTGACTGGGGGGTGGGGTCAGTGTGCCCAAATCTCTGTCCCACACGGAGAGGGCCTAAAGAACAGAAAACGTACGGTATGACATTATAAGCATGGAGCCCTCTGGATGAAGCTTCTTCTGCAAGCTTGGAGTCTCAGAGCGGCTTACAAACTCCTTTCCCTTCCCCTCTCCACAACAGACACCCTGTGAGGTGGGTGGGGCTGAGAGAACTCTGAGACAAACTGCTCTTTTTCAAGGACAGCTGTGCCAGAGCTTGTGACTGACCCAAGGTCACATCAGCAGGTGCAAGTGGAGGAGTGGGGAATCAAACCCGGTTCTCCCAGATTAGAGTCCGCACACTTAACCACTACACCAAACTGGCTCTCAGGGAGTTCCCATGTTAATGCTGCACCTCTTCTTGGCTTTACAGCTGTTAGTGTATAATGCAGTAGCCATGCCCTGAGGGTGTGCTGTTCTTAACTGTGAAGCCCTTAATTGCCACGTGGTGTCTGACCACTGACTGGGGGGTGGGGTCAGTGTGCCCAAATCTCTGTCCCACACGGAGAGGGCCTAAAGAACAGAAAACGTACGGTATGACATTATAAGCATGGAGCCCTCTGGATGAAGCTTCTTCTGCAAGCTTTTATTTCTCCATTTAGAGCATTTTTAGGCTGCTTCTCCAGGGAACTTGCCCCGATAGCCCTGGACAGTCCCTCCCCAGCAGTAGCCATGCCCTGAGGGTGTGCTGTTCTTAACTATGAAGCCCTTAATTGCCACGTGGTGTCTGACCACTGACTGGGGGGTGGGGTCAGTGTGCCCAAACCTCTGTCCCACACGGAGAGGCCCTAAAGAACAGAAAACTTATGGTATGACATTATAAGCATGGAGCCCTTTGGATGAAGCTTCCTCTGCAAGCTTTCATTTCTCCATTTAGAGCATTTTTAGGCTGCTTCTCCAGGGAACTTGCCCCAATAGCCCTGGACAGTCCCTCCCCTCCCCACCGGCAAATACATTTTAATCTTAACATTTAAATATTCTCACTAATGCGTATAGCGTCATTGATCTGTTTTGCTTGAAGTAATCAAACTTTTTAAAAATTGGCTCAAGTGCATCTAAAGTATTCATGCCTCCGCGACTGCCCAGGTGAAAAGTTGCAAGTGCTGAAGGCTAAACTCCAGGTGGCCATGAAGCTCCGTAGGACAGAGGAACGCCTCAAGCGACAAGCGCTGTTTAAACTAGATAATGAGGATATGATGGAAGAAGAAGAGGAAGACGAGGAAGAAATGACAGACGAGTCAGAGGAAGAAGAGGAAGAAAGCAATCAGGAGGTATGTCCTCTCTCTCTCTCTCTCTCTCTCTCTCTCTCTCTCTCTCT